TTTTAAGCCTTCGCGTTTCTCCGCCAAACAACTAGTGAAGTATTTATTCCTAAGTGGTAGGGCTTGGAGTTCATATTGATGCCTTAACCCTCCCTAAGATAGAAAGATACCAATAATAATGACAAAAAGATGAATACTTTAACTGTGATTTCTCTAGACGATTTCAGGGTCGTTTTAGAGATAGAGTTCTTGTTACCAAATGAATTAAGTCTCGATTTCAATAAATTTGAGATGGGCTATATGAATGCATGTTCGTCACTCTCCACTAGATTCATTACTACATGAATATTTTTCGTATCCATAAAATGTTGATTTTTTTTATTTTTTATTTTTCTCAAGATTTGAAAAAGCTAGGTAAGTCATCATAATATTATTATTATTATTTTTTTTTTTTAAGGTCCACAATGTCTCAAGTTGGATTGCCCCAAATCAGAATTTGATTTCTATCACACACGATGTGTGTTAATATTTTAGCTATGAAGATGGATGTCTCATCTTTTGAATTTGAATCACAAAGTGGAGTTAACCAATAAAAATAAAAAAATAAAAAGAAGGCAACTAGAAAGATGGTTGATTTAAAATTACCTACAATTGATGGTCCAAAATCTATGAGAAAAATTGAATGGAACTAAAATAAACTACAGAATCCAGCTTTTTAATGATCTCAATAATGAAAATTGCTACATAGGTAAAAAGAAAACTAAATCAAAAGGTAGTAGTTGATTAATTTTTGAACGTTGTGCGTGTCTAGTCGAAAGTATCGGAAAACTATGAAAGACATTGTAAAATTTTTTATTTAAGGTGAAAATTTTTATTCTTCATCATTTGCCTGTCATGATTGCAGTTTCATAAAGTTAAGCTTATATTTTTATCTAAATAGAGAAAAGAAAAGGTTAAAGAGTGGAGAAGTTTATATCAAGAACTAAGTTGTACACCAACAAAATGGTCCTTGAAAAAATGTGAGGTGAAGGTTCATTTTTGTCAAAGGTGGAACTAACGCGTTTCTTTCAACCGTGCTAATAAAGTTTTCGTGTGATAAGCGTGTTGCTTGGACTAAATTTAAATCCCAAACTAAATAATAATCGTTCTTTTGTCTCCTTATATGTACAAATAGAATTGATCTTTTTTATCGTTACGAAATTAAACAAACAATTCACCGCAACAATTTTCCTCATCTGATGTTACGCGATTTATTCTTAATGGAAGAAAAAAAAAAAAAAAAAAGATGAGGCCCCATAAATATGTCAGACTTTAATAATACTAAGATTCCTCCAATTGGGGTATGAAGTTCTTGATTTGTCATAATGTGGGGACTTCGATTAGTAGGAACAAACTTTGGCATATTGTACCTTTTTTACTTTGAACCTCCTTATTTTGCCATTGTTGGTTGAAATTGATGGCTCGAGATACCAAACAAGTTCATCATGGTGAGTGGAGTATGGAAAAATACAAGAATTTGACGCTGACATGAGATATCTTGTGTATAAAAGTGTTATATGGAACATTTACTTTGGACTGATGAATGGTTATCGATGAAATTTACTATATGGATACCATAGGTTGACCTCATAGATGATTGTTAACTTCGTCTTCATCACCTTTGAATAAAACTATCAATTATGAATAATGAAATACATTATAGCTATCTATTCGTCTTTCGAAAAATACGATATTTTTGTAAGTAGTATTGCTTAATATGATATAGATAGCAATAAAGAGATTTCAAACCAATATCTTCATCTTTTTTTATCTGTGGTGGGTGGGATTTGGGGGAATTCAAGAGAATGATGCTGGCGTGATATCTTGTAATACTAAAACTGTTGAAAATTTACTTAGTATGCACAATGAAAAATAAACAAAATTTCAATTCCCACCAAGAATATGCTTTTTATTTAGATAGAAATTGTTATATGAATTATACCCTTGTTGAATTCTACAAACAATCACGATCTGCAATTCACAACTATCCAATTATCCAACCTTCAGTGAAAATCCACATAGAGAACAAGAATGAGAGAAGTAAAATTTTTACTTTTCTTGTGTTAGTAAAAATAATTATATTATCTACTGATTTTTCAAACCCTAACAACCTATTAATAATATGAGTCCAAGTGGACTTGGCCCATCTTCTAATTTAATCCGGCCTAATATTTAATTAATTCAATTAATTAAATTTGGTCCATGAATCAATTAATTAGGCCATATTAACAAGCAGCCAAATTAATTAATTATCAAATACTTGTCAATTAATTAATTGAAAAATTTCGTTCTTCTGGTTCTCTCATTTTGTGTGTGATCCATTAGGCTCCCAGTCACGATACCTAATAACGTGAATTATTATTTTGATCTAATCCAAATCGATAAATTAAAATATTACTTTTTAATTTATCACCGATTCACATTCATCATCTCAGATTGACATCTAGTAATGTGCCACCGCAATTTATTTGACGAAAAATGTCATGTAGTATGACAAAATCAACTTGTTCGTTTACCATGAAACTGTAATCGTTTCCTCAATATGATTCAATCGATTACGAGATATGGGTATATGTAAATCTCAATTATCAATCATATCTTTCATTCTACTATTAACTCAATATAAATCAAAACTCATTTTCAACTAATGAGTACACCTTAGCCAATGATTTCGTTATCAACTTAACTGAATGAAATGTAAATCATAATCTCTAACCATCTAAAAGTGATGAATCCTTTATTAATCATTCACTACCTTCATCTGATTGTTAACAAACCTGAATGATGCCATATTAGCGATTCTTAGTAGAGCAACATCCAACATCATCAGGGTATAACTGTCCTCATATTAGGCACTATGATGACTTTAAGTCAAATGACCAATTTTACTTCCGAACTTTGAAGATTAACCACTAACACTTAGATAATTATACATCTAGAGTCTCCTCAGCAGGTCTCTAATGTTTTATTTTATAACAAAACATTCACGTATTCGTTTAAGTGTCACTACACTTTAACTTGCGAAAATCAACTACTTACTTCATAAGTAAAAAATGCAACACGTAACGGTCTATCCGTAATAACGATATATGTACTTGTTATTATTGATTATCACGGATGATTTAAAATTCAAGTCATATGTAATTTATATTTCACAATCACAACTCTCTGTAATTAAAATCGAATTCTATTATTTAACTTAATTGAATATTAATTTAAATAATAGATTTGTCACAAAAATTACATCAATTATATATTAAAAGTGTTTATATTCAAAGTGATTGGATTTAGGGCATAACACATTCAAAAATATTATGAAAATTGACATAAAGATGGTTTTATATGAATATGGAATAGGTCAGGATTTAAATGGCATAATTTCAATTTAGCTTAAATCAACGTTTTGTTAGTTGTAAGACAAGTAGAAATGTGCAATTTGACAATTATTTTTAAGTTACTTACGAAACAAAGAAATTGGAACATTTGAGTACAATATCACACGAAGAAAATGAAGTATCTATTAAGTTCATAGGAGTTTATTTTAATTTTTAAAAAATAAGTTCTGAAATGAATATAATGGTTTTTACGATATGAACATTGAAAAGTTAAGTATGTTAAACTATTTTATTTAAAAGTATTAACTATTACAAAAATAGACACATATTTTTATTATGTTTTTAACAAGCTCTTACATCTTATCCTTTTATTTGGAACTTAAAATGTATACAACTATTTAATTTAAAGATCTTTTCTTAAAAATAAAAAGGTTGAACCCCAACCTTGAGGGTCTCCACAGTCCTGTCCCTCGAACTTTGTGAGGGAAGTAAATCACAGGATGTGCCCCAACATGTCAGAGAATAAGAGCTGCATGTACACTGCGCCTACAAGAAGTCCAATTCCATGTTTCAGGAATCGAACCTTCACACTGCGGCTGCCAGCAAGGTATGAGATAACCTCACTCCTGTCATTTGCACCACTGGGCTATGTCCCGGGGGGCAATCTTTTTTTGTTTATATATCATGTTGAAATTATCTTCTTCTTACTAACTCAAACTTTTAGACGAACCGGTTTGACAAAGTAAATTTTATATAAGTAATTTTTTTGAACCTCTCACAAAAAGGAAAGAAGGGGAAGAAGGTAAAATACGAAAAAGAGAGGTGGGTAGAGACTCCACAAATGATCTTCAATAAAGTACAATGAACAAGCTTTGGAAGACAGTACAAACTGAAAAAGCAAGAAAGATAATATTTTCACAAGTTTTAACAAAAGCTGAAAATCTCATGAAGAATAAAATTAAAATAAAGAAAAAATAAAGGGAAAAAAGACAAATAAAAAGTTCAATTTAAACCGTGCAAGTCGCTATCGCTTTGAGTGTTTTTAATTGCAAAGATGGAAGAAAGGAAACTTATATTCTTTGATCCTTCTTTTTCCAAGTCTTTTGATTCAAGTATTGACCGCAAAAAACAATTTTTTAATATTATTTTTGATGCTGTTTTATTCAAGCTCTTTACATTTTATTTTATTTTTTTAAGAAAAAAGGCTATATTTTTAGTATTTACAGAAATCACAACCATTATTTGATTTTTTTTTCTACATATTCATTTTTAATTACATATTTATATAACAAAATATTATGTACGTAAATTTAAATTTTTTTTTAATTTTTAAACACAATATTTTCTTAAAAATTACTATTCAGAGTATTATTTTTCTCAAATAAAAGCTATCAAACTGGGATTGATTTTAGAGTCCAAGATCTTTCCTTTTGATACCCGTCAAAATTGCTGATTGGTTTCTCTGTGTCTGATTCTCCCAGTTTATTAAATGCACATTCACTCTGCAAACTGCAACTATTTTGTCATCTTTCTTTGTGTGAACAGAATCTGTAATTTTCAGTAGTAAAATGTAAATCAAGAATTTTTACGCTCTGTAAATGTAAATTATTTTACCAAATGTCGACACATACGAAGAAAAAGTGAAAAGCTTTTATTTAAATTTATTACATCTATAAAATGTGGATACCCGTCTTCTGTTCTCTTCCACCTCTGCCAGTTTCTTCCTCTGACACCCGTCTCCTCTCTCTCTCTCCCCTCTGTAAGTCCCTCTTCACTTTCTCTCTCTAGTTCTGATTCTAGTATATAATTAAATAGTTTGATTTGGATGTATAATTTCAAGAATGTATTTTGTGTGTTCTGTGGGTCGTTAGAACTTGGCTTATACATGCAAGAATTGTTGAAGAAATTGAATTGTTTTGTGTGTTTTTGGATTTGGGTTTTGGCTTAAAAATGTTGTTATTTTACTTATTTTGGTATGCATGTATTGATTTGAGTTTCTTGAGCCTTGATCTCTCCTTTATCCTCAATCCTAATTTTTTCAAGTTTAATCTTTAATTTTCTTGGCTACAGAAGTTTGATGTGATGAATTATTTATACGAATTTGGAATTTCGATTGTAATTTGATTGTATAATTTTTCTAAATCTTTGGACGGTTGTGATCATTATTTTGTGAAATTTTAGTTCAATTACTTTAATGTGAATAAGCGGTTCTTATTTTACTTATTAAAAAATGTGGTAATTAATATTCTTTTTTATTTTGATAAATTCTAGTCCTGGATTCTGTCAAAGATGAGTAATTTAGTGTAAGTACTATGTTGCTTCAGTCTTTAATCGAGTATTTTGTATGAGGTTGATTTTGCATGATTTTAGCTTGTTCTTTGGACTAAAAATAGCTCATTTTTTTCATTTTTTTTGCCTTTTTTTGGAATAGAGCGTTTATTAAGAATGGCTGTCTCTTGCGATAAAAAGAATGGAATAGAGTTGAGAATTCATGAAAACCCAGACGGGCTAAGTACAGATTTGGCAGAATATATTGCAGCATTATCTGAGGCTTCTGTAAAAGAGCGGGGCGCGTTTGCCATTGCTTTATCTGGTCGTTCTCTTATTAGCTTGATGAGGTATGTATGTGCATTTTGTAGCCTGCATTTGTCACCTAAATTCGCCTTTCTATTATACTAGAATTCGAGTCTGAATTTTGATTGGAAGCAGAAAACTCTCTGAAGCTCCTTTCAACAAGACTGTTGAATGGGCAAGGTGGCATATATTTTTGGCTGATGAGCGTGTTGTTGCAAAAAGCCACGTTGATAGCAATTATAAGCTACTTAAGGATACTCTTTTGGCCAAGGTATCTTTCTTGATTCTAGGTACTTTGTACATTTTATCTGCCTTCTTTTGTTGACTTGGCGACTTATGAACTTTGTTGTTGGTTAATATTGTCATCGTTCGTGATTAAACCGGGCTAAGTCCATACTACTCTCACTCTCAGACTCCTTGATTGGCAATACTGGCATAATTTTTTATCCTCTTTGGGCAATTTCTCCTGTTTTAATAATTCTCTATGTATAAATGGAGATTTGCATAGTATATGCAGGCAATGCTGATGCAAATGCTATAGATTTAGCTGTACGCATTTTATGACGCTGAACCAGCATCCCAATCTTTATATCATTCAAGGGGGTCTTTTTCTTCAATATTTTCACTTTGTTGAAAGAATGAATTTTCCTTGTCGGCCTTCTTATTTTGGCAATAGTTTATTTTTTAGCCTAAAATTCTGATCATAATATTACTGATATACTCCATTTTTGTGAGTTAATTTTTTTCTCGGAACTATTGTAAACTCAAATGCTCCGATGACCTGGTTAATCCACTTCAAAAGGTTTCGTACTGATATAACATGTCCTACTGAGATTGCCGTGCTGTAATGAAAAGGAACCTCCTTATATCTATGTAAAATATGTTTTTCTTTTTTCGTTTTTCCTCTAACATCAAAGACTATAAACTTCTGATCTTGAATATCATCTCTACTTGGTCACGCTACCAACATGATTTTCTTAAGGTGGTAATAGCACACCACTCTCTATCTGAAAAAAATGTTTGGCAATAATGCATGATAAATAGTTCCTTACGTTAGAGTTCGGGCATTTGTGAATCCTTGAGCTTCAATATTTGCCTAGAAGAGAGATGACTTACCACATAGGATAAGACGGGAAATAGAAGTCTGTATGTCATATGGATTTATGGAGCCATTATCTGAGGTATTAGTTTGTTGAGATTGTTTTAAACTGGAATTATGATCTTGATATGTTTTTAATAAATCCTTTATGGTATGTATGGCAGTAAAAATTGGATAGTATAAACATTATTAAATAAGAAAAAAGAAGCTCAAATCTTGTTCATTGTAGCGTCCAGTCCAGTTCAGCATACCAAACGTACATCTCCTATATGTTTGGTACCAGGTAGTATAATGAACAATGTTTTAATTTTCCTTCCTTAATAATAGCTAGTGTTGTATGATCCTCGCTACCAAACATGCCATTAGTGAATGAATGTATACAATGCCCTGTTAAAAAAGGTTGAACTCCAATTTTGAGGGCCCACACCGTCCCGCCCCTAGAGCATTGTGAGGGAGGTAAATCGCGAAATGTGCCCCAACAGGTCAAGGAACAAGAGTTTGCCCGTACACATAATGTCCCATTCTTTTACATAGAACTATGCTTGGTAAGTTAGCCCAGGTCTGGTCTTGTGTCTGGTGTTTTATGCCTGTCTCATGTAGGGCTCTGCATTTGGTGATTCCAATTGTTTTCTCTTTAATTCTGTAACTAAAACTGGTACTACAAAATAAATACTCATCATTGGCCAATTTCAGAAGTATCTTCAATAAACTTCTTTTATGTCTTCATTGGTCTAATTTATGCCAATTAGCATGAAGAAACAATGGTCGAAATTTCTTGTATTTGACGTCTCTGGAATTGGGCAATTAATTTGTCTGAAAATATGAGTTCTACTCGGTGGACAGCTACTTCAAATAGTAATAATAACATGCCTTACATCAGTCTAAAGTTCAATTCTGTGCAGAATTCTCATTTACCGACCTTTGCACTGTTGAAAATACCTAAACATTGGCATTTTTGCCGCTTACAAAGATTTGGTCGATGAATGTGTTCAATTTTGAATTCCAAGTATTTCTTTCAGTTTTTCAAATAGGAACAGTCGCTTGTATGAGATGACTATCTCCACACTATTTGAGGTACCTGGACACAGCTTTATATACTAGTAACCCTGTGGTTACTGAAATTCTTTCTGATAATGTAAACAGAAAACAGAACTGCTCAATTTTTATTTTTTATTTTTTTTTGGTTTCCACAGCTCGATTTGCCTGCTATTTATTTTTAATACACATTAGAGGGCACCTGATATTGAATTTCTTCAATGATCATTTAATTTTGGGGTTACCACGTGTTATGACGATATTTCTTTCCTGAAGCCTCCTTAGATAATGTCTGCAAAAGTCAGTAGTTTTTTCCCTTTTTCAGCCTTTGAGCAAGATAAAACTTAAGATTGACTAGTAGTAGTTTAGCTCACTGTAGCTTTGTATTTTCCTATTTGTATTCTCTTAACTATGTTATTATTGAGTATAGTACATTATACATATTTTTTAGTTTGTCGAAGTAGTGAAGCTGAGAAAGGTGAAATTAGATTATGCAGTCAATGTTTTCAAATATACTTGTTTATCGTTTCAGGTGCCTAATGTTCCCAGCCATGTTCATTCTATCAATGACATGGTGACAGCAGAACAAGCTGCAGAGGAATATGAGTTTGTCATCAGACAGCATGTAAAGACTCGTGTAATCGACGTATGTGAAATTAACGACTGCCCGAAGTTTGACCTCATCCTCCTTGGAATGGGACAGGATGGGCACATCGCATCACTATTTCCTAATCACTCAGCCCTCGATGAGAAAGAACTGTGGGTGACATTTATCACTGACTCACCCAAGCCTCCACCTGAGCGAATCACTTTTTCATTGCCAGTTATAAACTCCGCCTCCAAGGTTGCTGTAGTTGTGACCGGTGGCAGCAAAGCAGAGGCTGCCCACCTGGCGATTGATGATATTGGGCCCGAATGTCCGGTACTACCGGCAAGAATGGTGCGCCCAACTGAAGGAAAGTTAGTGTGGTTTTTGGATCAAGAAGCTGCATCAAAACTTGATGATGTAAAATTCAAAGAGTAGGTTTTAGTACCTATGAAAGTCTATGTATGTAGTGGAGGGATACTTACAACTTTATTTTGCATTTGGGCCTTTTTCTTTTCTTATGGATCTGAGGATCTCTAATCATTTTGGTTTCGGTTTTTTGTTTTTTGTTTTTTGTTTTGTTTGTTTTTTTTTTTTTTTTTTTTTTTTTTTTTTTTTTTTTTTTTTTTTTTTTTTTTTTTTTTTTTTTTTCCCTATGGCTAGTTTCTTGACTTGCGCTCTCTATTCATTGAAAGGATTTACTGAGTTCCTTCTCTTAATGGTATACGCTGAGGCTTGGGAACTCGTAATTGGTAGGATAGACATGACAGTAGATTTGAAAAATGGAGAATATTTTATGTTATCTTTACTGGATATCCGTTGTCTAGTAGCTAATATCAAACATGTTTCCATGGTATGAAATTAAGATAATTTATTTGATTTTTAGAAAAGATTGGGGAAAGGGTCGAAATCTTGATCTCCATACGTTGCTGGCCATGACTATAGGCGAGGTATGGGATCGTCTAAGGTTCCATTTTGGTGAGGGCTCCAAAAAAATTATTTGTTTATTATTTTACATGTATTTTTACATATATATAAGGTCCCATATTTGAAATTGGTCTAAGGTCCTCATAATCTCAGGGTCGACAATGCCTCCATAAGGAATTTGATCCATGGATATACGGAAAAGAAAATGACACAACCTAGATGACATATTATCATCTTTCCAAAGAGTTATAAAGAGTTGTAATTCAGAATAACAAGTATGTAGGCATTAACATCTGATCAATCAAGAAGATTAATACAATGAATGGTATCTTTCTTTTCAATGGAATTGTAATGCAGTTTAAATTATTGGATAATGAATCATAATTCACTGTCACTTAAGTTGATGATCATCATCGATGATAAATAATAATAATAATAATAATAATAATATTATTATTATTATTATTATTATTATTATTTTGAAATCTAACCTAAATCTCAAGTAAACAAGGAAAAACAAAAACAAAAACCATTCCACTAAGAAGAAAGTCAGAGGTTCTAGAAGTTGAGGAATCTTCATTAATCATAGAATTGAGGCGACTTTAAGAATTTTCCCTTTTAATTAAGGTGATGGGACATCCCCATTCATTTCATACACTAATACGAGGCATTAGTTATTCCAATAACATCATTTTCTGCTCCACTTGCTTTCGGTGGGTAATCTTTTGAAGATATTTTATTCTGTTATAGACCCAGAAATCAATTACACAAGCAAAGAAATAGATATACAGCCACAAATTTCAACTTAAATTAACTTATAAGCAGTTCCTTCACCTGCTTCGTATCATTTCGAAGTAAAATTTAGTGCTGTGAATCAAACATAGTTTCGCCTATAACAAGATTAACGAACACTTGATAGTTTAACGTGTAGACGAAGATTAACCTGTAAGTAGTTTCAAAAAAACAAAAATAAAAATAAAAATCAGCTATAAAGCAATTTACTAATAACTTTATACTCAACTTTAAAAATTCTAATTATCCGAATATTTAGATCCAACGTATGAAATTACACAATTAAACAAGTTACTTTTTAATTGTTTATAAATAGAAAATAGTAAATAACACCAATATGATCACGAAAAAATCTCAAATGGGTAAACACTCCAGGTACTTTGCCAATCAGTAATCCACTATAAACGATGAAACTTACAGTATGGTTCAGACCTGACTAGCTCTTAGTCTCCTCTAACCTTCTTCCTATAATCATCTTGACCCTCTTGGACTACGTGCTCCTAGCACCAGCTCCCCGAACCTCGTTCTGCAACGTCGGAACTCCAAGCACCTTTTCCCAAAACTATAGTAACTCTAAAGACTAATTGGCGAAGATAGGTTTGGCATTTGATCAACAACCTTGAGTGTTTTAATCTGTGATTTAATACAAAGGTTTATAGCTCGATCAACAAATCTAAATTTGTATAAATCTATAAATTAAATAATATGGTGGGCGAATCTTGAAATCAATGAAAGCGATTTGAATTTTTAAAGGAATGATCTCTATAAAATAATTAATTATGATTCAACACCCATTTAGTGTGTGTGTGTGTGTGTGTGTGTGTGTGTAGGGGAAAGTGTTTGGGATGAAAATTGAAAAATCAGTGTTTGAAGCAAAACAAAATTCATTATGTCAACCTGTCGCTCGAGTGCTAGGCGAGTGACAGGCGAGCGATAGGCGAGCGACAACTGAGCATTCGTGAGTATTTTTATCGTAACTTTCTCTCCCGAGGTGATTCAAAATGCGTTGAAAAACTGACTCAAAGGGTTACGATTCTTCTACAAATAGCATTCTCGAAATTCGAATGTTTTCTATGTGAAAAATGCATTGCAATTTGCGACTAAGAATTTAGAATATAACTTGTGCGACTCTTTGACACCTTATAGACTTCTAATTACATGTTCTTGATCATATGTGATTTTCTTGGACATCTCTGATATCTTGGACTCCTTCAAAATCTATACTATCATTTCTTAACCATTTTGATTTTGATTTTAACTTGATAAACGCCTAATATAATACAATTGGGACTTGATTTCTCTTCAGAAATTATCAATTATAATTTGGACAGCCTGTAAGTGAAGCCTTTTTTTTTTTTTTTTTTGCATTTTTTTTCAAGAAATTCAAATTATCAACCCGCATTGAATGTCGGACCGCTCATTGAAAATAAAAGTACATCAAACCCAATTCTCATGTATGTAAATACGAATTTATTTTCGTCTTTCTATGTAAACAATCGTCAAGCCGATTTATATTATTCCAACGTTTGATGGGCATTGTCTTTCCTTTTTGATCGAGGTCCACAGGCCGTAACCAGCTAGGTCCGAGTGTGATTTTGAAACCGAAGCAAAGGGTACCCAAGAGATTCATGAACTGTCCCGTAATAAAACCAGCTGTTGTCGATACCTTCTTCTTGGTTCCTTCTTCAAAAGCGATCCTCTAGAAGATAGTACTGCTAACCACATCGAACTAAGCCTGCCTTAACAATCTCCCCTTTTGGCATTACGTGACAAAATCATTTATTTCAATGTCAAAAGTCCACTATAATCTACCTAATAGACACTTTTCAAAGCACACTTTAGCAATTTGTCAACCTATTTTCTGAAACACATGAAATCACAATACGACGTGAAAGCAAGAGGAAACTAATAACCAAGATCATATAACTAAGTTACATAAAACAACATAATAAATCATATGTAATACCGAAGCATCCAATATCATGTGAATTATAAAGTTAGATATAAACCATATAATTTTATATCAATATAGACAAAACATAACACTATATCAATAATAAAATTCCAACAAATATATCTAATGGCTCCAAAAAGTCATCTATCAATCAACAAATTCAAATTTCTTAATATTCTCCCCCTAACTCATATAATAAACTCCCTAAAATAAATACATATATCTCCTCCTTTTTTTCACGAATAACAAAGGGAAAACAACTTATAATTATGTAAAACACAGAGATAAATGAGTAAAAAAATATGCACATGTATAATGATGCAAAGATTAAGATACACATATATGGTAAATGTCACTAAACTCCTATAAACAAGTCTCAAAACCTTAAATGAATGAGAAACGACATACAAAAATCACCGGTGAATGAATATATCCTTCAACTTATGAAGTCAAACCTAATGTTACTAGGACCTTTTAAATAAAATGCTCATATTGATTTTTCAATGTATAACTTAAAATTCTCCGCCATCAATAAGTATATATATTTTCCTCTCATTATTTATTTATTTTTATATCTTATGTATAATCTCTTCTTCATTAAGCTAGTTCTGGGCACGGTGTGCAGGCCATGTCCGAGACGCGTCCTGGCCACGGTAGGGACGCAGCCTGATTTTCAAGCAATTCTGGGCACGGTGTGCAGACCATGTCCGGGACGCGTCTTGGCCACTGCAGGGACGCAGCCTCATTTTCAGGCAATTCTGGGCATGGTGTGCAGGCCATATCCGGAACGCGTCTTGACCACTGCAGGGACGCAGCCTGATTTACTGATGATTCCAAGTCAATTGACCGTGGGCTTCAGATTATGAGAAATCTCTTAGGCTTAATTATTCGAGTCAAATAGACTATAAAGAAGAGTATAAGATGAATAGCACTTTTTCATATATTTCGAATTTTTTGAATCTCAGTTATGGAGCTAGTTTAAAGATCATTCCATATCTAAAATCAATTCAAAGATCATTCCATATTTAAAATCAATTCACTAGACATGTGACGACTATCCCAAATCTCACACATGCGGTCAAAACCTACTCACAAGAGTTTAATGTGTGCAGTGTAAGATATATGTAATAACCTATATCAAGTACTCTAAACAAGTTCTAAACAAATTAATGGAAATTTAATTTACCATCCATGAACTTTACTAGTACTTGATAACAAATTAACACGTCCAACCAAAAAAACTTTATTTTTCATTAATTTTTTTAAAAGATAAATGAGAACACAAAAAAATAATAATAAAAAATAGAGTGCGTGCATGAATATGTAAATATCATGAATAAAACAGATGCATGCAACTAAATGTCTAATCAATGAGGCACACAAATGCTCTTACTATGAAGAGCAACACGAGGAATATTACAATTATCAACATCACTTACACTAGTGAGTTCACTCTTTTTTACCCAACTCTTCTTGGAAGAAGATGTAATCTTAGTCAATTTAGTCATCAATTAGTTATGTGATTCACTTGGTCGGTCAAAAAACTAACTTGAGTAATTAGATCTTGATTATTGTACTTAACCAAAGACTTATGACAATTAGGTCCAATGTGACCTGAAACACCATAATTATGACATGTGGAAATGAATTTTGGAACAATCCTAATTTTCAAATTTTGAACATTAGGTAGAGGAAACTTATGCCGTATCAGTGGTTTTGGTCCTCAGCCACATTTTTGTTTTCTTGTTCCCATTCAAGAGCTCACAACACTTAGATCTTATATGTCTAACCTTACCACAATGGTGACAAGTGGGGATGGACTTAGGAGCAACTCTACATTCCAAGTTTTGAACCGTAAGACTCGAGA